TATAAAAATTATCTCATAAAGTCATATAATATACTTGAGCTATTTTAGTTATAGATAGTTTTCTTAATAGAATTTTTCTTTTCTTTTGTTTTACTAATTTAATTAGCATATTACTATAATTATATATTTCATTTATAATCATTTATTTCTTTATTCATTCATTAATAAGCATCTTTTAGAGATACTATCATATAAGTATTATCTATTATTAATTTATTTATTATATTATTAATTCTATATAACATTAAATTATTATTTAAAGATACTATTTCTATTCTGTATTTTTAATAACAATCACATAATAAAGAATAAGTTTTTAATATAATAATCTTGTTTATCTTGAATTAGTTTTTTATATGAATTCTATTTCAATTAACATTACTATATATCTTGAATCTTTTATATGAATTTTTCTAATATATTATATAACATAACTAGAAAAATTATAATTATCTTTAAATATAAATATTATTTAAAAATTCATTCTGTTTGAATAATAAAGATATAAAATATCAAGTTAATTAATATCTTTTTATATATAAATTTGAGTTAAATATTAAAAAATTCTAGACTTTTATATAAGATAATTTTTTTTAAATATTAGTATTAAGACTGATCATATTATTTATAAGATCACAGTATATAATTAACTTAATATTCTTGACTAGAAATAGAAAAAATATTAAAAAGAACTATATTATAATAGCTATAAAAAAGAAGATGTAATTAAATACTTTTTAGTATTTCTTTAATATATAAAATCTTTTGAATCATATATATCTTAATAATTAGATGATTTAACAAATCAAATTGGACTAGTATTATTATTGTATAAAAAATTACATATTCTTATTACTTATAATTAAGTAATTTTTTTAATGATAGAAGAAAAGCTTTTTGAAATTCAAATAATGAATAATTACTTTGATCAAAATCTGTTAATATTAGTTTAATAATTAGTAATTATTTATATGATATAATTAGATGATTAAAATTAAATTTTGCAAAACAGATAGAAAATTTATTACTTTTCTTGAATTAACAAATTTCTGAAGAAGCTTATATAATTATATATTCTGAAAATAATTAAGATGACTATTAAACTAATAAGAATATTACTAAATAACTTAAAGAAAAAGTAATTTTAATATTTAATATAATACATCTAAATTATATTATAATCTTTGCTTTTGATAATAGTACTAACTATAATTCATATATTAAAGATACTTTATTAGCTAAATGAATGAATCTTATACTAGATAATGCTTAATCAAAAATATAAAATACTATAATATATAATGAAAAATCTTAATTAATAATTTTTAAAGATAAAATAGCTAAAGATTTATATGTTATTTTAAATAAAAGAAAATATAATATTACTAAATTATAAAAAATATATCAAGTATATATAAAAGATTAATTTGAAAATAATAATTATTATATAATTTATATTATATTACTAGAATTAAACTTTATAAATAATAATTATTATTTTAAGAAATTGTAAAATCAGCTAGATATGAAATTTTTTTTATTCAAAATTTTATTATGAACTTAATTATATTAAAAACTTTTGGAAACAAGCAAAAAAAAATATATATAAATATTATGATTATTTTTTTGATAATCTTAAAAAAAACAGTTTCAAATATTCTTAAATCTATTTCTTTAATTTAAATAAGATATTATTCTTAAAGAGTATTTTACTATATGAATACTTATAAATTAGAATTATCTATAAAACAGATAATTTTTATAGTAAGAAAATATAAATCTTATAGAAGAATTTCAGATAGTATTTTGTAAGAATTAGATAAATTTAAATAACTTTGACTAGTATTTGTAATTTTGATCAGTATTATTAATGCTAACTTTAATTTTAATTAAAATTTAAGTGCTAAAATTTGAAAACTTTTAATAAAACAAAAATTTTTAAAATTATAAAACTCAAATATATAATAATTTTCAAAAATTTAACTTTATTAATTTATTATTTAAATTAAAATCTTTAGAATAATAGAAAGTATTTATCAAATTATATAATATAAATTTTATTTCTATTAACTTAAAGTTAATATTATTTAGTTGATATAATTTAGTTTAGTTATATTAATATAATTATTTAACTAAAATTTTTTTAATTATAATTAAAAATTTATTTTATAATAATATTTTTTTATAATTATTTAATTTTACTTTTAAAAATAATAAAAATTAATTTGAATTTAGTTTTTTATATTCAAAATATAAATAAATTTAAATATATATTAATTAATTTTTTTAATAATTATAAATTAATTCTTTTATTAAATATAAAATTTCTAAATATTATTCAAATATTTATATAATTAAATTATTAATAATTTTTTTGAAAAAGCTATTTAGATTATTTAAAAATTAATTTAAAAATATATATATTATATATTTATATAATTTTTAAATTATATTTATTAAAATTTGTATTTTATGAAATATTATTAAAAGTTAATTTATATATTTTAAAATAAATTATATTTATTAAAATTATTTAAAAAAAATAATTTAATAAAAATCTTTATATATTTTAATATTTATTTATTTTTCTTTCTTTTAAATTATTAAATTTTCTTTTTAAAAAGATACTAAAATTTTTATTTTAATAAAAAATTTTATTTTTTTCTTTCTTTTATAATATTATTTAATATAATATTATTAAAATTATTTTTATTTTTATTAATATTATACTTTTTAAGTTACTTTCTTATTATTTAATAATTTTAAAAAATTATTAATTAATTAAAAAAAATAAAATTCAAAATATAATATATTTAAATTCTATAATATTATTATAAATACTTATTAATTCTCTAATATATAAATTTATTATTACTATTATATTAATAATTAGACTATTTTTAATATTATAATTATTATTATTTTCTTTAATATATTATATATATTATTAAAAAAAACTCTTTATTTATTTGATAATTAATCAAGAGTTATAAAAGCTTCTGCTTTTATATTTAATATTATCTATATATATTTTTATATAAAATAATTATTAAAAAAGAGATATATTTACTAATATTATTATAATAAAATTTTTATTAGTATTTTTACTTGTAAAATTAATTTTAATTATTATATAAATATATATAAATAGAAATAGAAATTAGTAAGTTTGATAAATATAGTATATTTCAAAAGAAATAATATTTATATAAGAAAAAAATTACTTTTTAAAATATTATAAGTATAATTAATATTATTTATTTCTTTAATATGAAAAATCTAAAAGAAAAAAATACTTATCAAATTATAAAATTATAAAAGAAATTTTTATATATATTTTGAATTTATTTATTTCTTTTCTATTTAATAAGATAAATAAAAGAAGTATTATTATTAACTCTATATAATTAGACAAATTACAAATATAAATGATTTAGATTAAGTCATATATTTTATAAATTTAATTAAGAGTTCTTTAATAAATTTTCTATAATACTTATAATAAGTAAAATTTAGATATATTTATATATATAATATTAATTTTAAGTAATATAAATTTTATTTTAACTTATAATAAATATAAAAAATAAATCTATCAAATTTAATTTTAAAGATTAAGATATAATAAAAAAATAATTATATATTTAAAATATTTTTAAGTTTTTTTTTTATTTTTAAATTTATTTATTCATAACTTCTATATTTTATATTAATCTTTCTTATAATTTTCAGTAATATAAAATTTATCTTTTAAATATTATAGAAATATTTCATATATATTATATTTTGCTAGTAATTTATCTTGAGTTTTGATATATTGATAAATAAAATTCATTCAAAATATATTTTAATTAATAAATTCAGTAATAATATTATAAGTTATTCAAAAATTATATATTTTTATTATAATATAAAATTATTTATTATTTATCTTAAAATTATCATTATAATTTTAAACTTTTTTATATAATATATAATATTATAATTTGATTAATTAATTTCTAAATTATATAAATAATAATTAATTTTATAATTATTTTTTTTGATAATTATATAATATAGATATTCTAAAGATATTAAATACTATATTACTGCTAAAATTCTTAATATATGTATTATTTAATGTATTAAAAGATTAATATTCTAGTCATGACAAAAAAAGTGTTAGATTATGTGATTTTTTAAAGGTAAATCAATCAAATTACAAGATAATATATAATAAAAAAAATTTAAAATAAATATTTATTTTTGAAAAATAGCTTGTATTTTGAAATTTTATTTATAAAATTACTTTTTTATTCTAATAAAAAATATTTCTTGCAAAATTTTACTTTATAATTTTTATAATGATACTTTATAATGTTATACTATTATAATATCACATGAAATATAATTATATTTATGATCTTGTAATTTAATTGGTTTACCTCTTAAAAAATCACATAATCTGATACTTTTAAGATTTTGATCAATTAAATTATGAGCCAATCATTATTTTTATTAAATATACGTTATCACACATGAAATTTAGCCAATTATCTTATTAAAAATTATTTAATGCATTTTTTTTATCATTATATTTTTATTTATAGAACCTTTACATTTTAAAGTATTTTGAGGGCCTGCGCCATACTTACAAATTTGGTCGCAATTTTTCTTGCAATAACAACTGACCCAATTATCAGAGGGTGATTGTTTAGTCAGTATGCATCCTCTGAAATAGCGATCATATCAGAGCAGCCGGAGCTGGTCATCCAGATCACAACCATCATCAATAGCAAATTTAATATTATTTATTTTGGAAATATTATAAAAGATTTAATATATTTAAAATGTGTAATATTTAGAAGATTGAGCAATAACTTAATATAAAATCATTGATTTTCATAAATCTATTTCCTCTTTATTGTGTAAATTTCAAAGTAAAAATCTAGATGTTATATTGCAAACGCGTGTAATTTCTTTGATCACATCCTCCCTATAAGTTTTTGCAATTATCATTATTGTCGTAATCTCACAAAAAAGGCATTTTTGCATTCAAAACTGCCCGGTGGAAGATACTTGTCATAGAAATTGACGATAAATTCCTCTGGTTTGAAACCTAATTTTTGATAAATAATCTGCATAGGAATAATAATTAGGCACAATAACTAAAAAGTTTCAAAAGACCAAGTTTCAATAAATAAAAAATACTTGCCATAGCAGGATTATTGGCAGAGACATGTAGTGTAATATCTTTACCATTATTGTTCTATTTGTAATAAAAAGTTTAGTACATGAATAAATAAAAGAAAAATTATAAAGTTTGTTCTACCTGAATAATATGATAAAGCATAAATCTAAAAAAAGCATTCATTATTAAGATTTAATGTACTAGAAAGACTTTGATTTCTTATATAATAATACTCACTTTCCTATGCCAGATTTTTGCCAACCTGACGCAACGGCAACATATGTAATATAAGATTCCGGAGTCATAAACGCACAGCCAATTACCAAGCGTTTATACAACGCAACGACGCTATAATCCGGAAATAATAAATTTTCAGTAACTAAAATAAAATTTCAATAAAGAATCAAATCGATGTTGTAATTATAAATTTCAAAGAGAAAATAGTAAAAAAATCCAATTACCATCAATTCCAGGCCAAAAGCATCTTTGCAGTAAATCGTTGACTTGTTTTAGATGAGTTTTTTGAAAGTAACAGAAATCTATGGGGCTTGATGGCGGAGGTTGCCATTCATTATCATCTCTATATTGCAATGTACAAGTTCAATAAATTAAACAAATTTAATGAGAAATTTGCTCAAATACTTATAAGAAGGTCTACCTGTGTGCATTAGAAACGATCTCTTCCAATAATTTTAATTTTGGAGGCTTCATTTCATAATCTCTGTAGATGTAAGGTCGTAATTTTCTGCCATGGTAAGGACTGGACCACATTTCTTTTGATGTGAGGGTTGTTGCAAGTCGTGGGATACCATATAGTCGTGATGCAAATGAATTTTCATACGGTGTATGAGAGAGCTGATATTTAAAACATAATTTTGCAAGGATGATATTTTCCGAGAAAATTCAATTGAGTCATTTAGGTTCTCTACAGATTATTTTCAACTTATTACTATAGGAAATTTTAGAGCTCATCTAATATCAATTAATTACCTCTTCAAAGACCTTATTATCTTCTATATCTCTCACTTGATTTACAGTTTCCAGTTTTGTTTCTTTAATATCATTTTCAACCTTTGATTGCTTTTTTATATCAATTGATGCTGTCGTTGCGATCGGTTCTAGCTCAGCATTTGATTTGAGATGCTGCGTCACTGCATCATCTAAATCAAAGATTTTCAGACCCAAGCCACGCTTTAACTATTCATTTCGCAAAAAAAAACATCAGATGCATGTACAATCATTCTCTTATAGTAGACAAAAGAAAAATTATTTCAGAGAAATAATGCCATCTTACGCGTCTTAATTGAAGTTTTCTCCTAAACCTCGCGGTTTTAGGTGACAACGGAGTACGCGAATTATCAAGTCTCTGCAACAATTCCCATTCCTCCCGCTCATCCAGCATGACAAATTTATTTTTGGATTGCTTTTTACGTTTCTTTTTATTTGGTTTTTCACTCTTGTCAGGATCCTCAATTACATTGGGAATCTCTTTTACAAGAGAATCATCGTGCTTTGAATTAAATTTATTAGGTTAATATGCATTCTGAGTACAATGAATAAATTTAGAATCATATATTTCACTTACTGTATTGCTATCTGACGACTTGAATATTAGTCGTAATCGTGGTCCTTTGTTTGTATCAATATCCTCAGATTTTACATGTGTCGAATCTTTTTCATCCACAGTGGTAACAGCAGCAAGATTAGAAGTAGTTCCATTGTCGATAAAAGAGCTTTGAATTTGTGAGGATAATGATAATCCAGGATCCTTCGAAAAATGTTCGCGTGGGGATTTCGATGTCTAACTTGGAAAGGAAATTTAAGTAAATTTAGCAAATGCAAAAAAAAGTTAGTAATCACCAATTTTTTCTTTTCCTTAGATTCACACACCTCAATCAAGTAGTCATTATCACTTTGATGATCTTGAAATTCTTTTCGATCATTTGTTCTCGCGTAATAATACAAACGCGCTACAATTTTCTCTAGATCACAAGATTCTAAACTTTGAGGATTCATTTTCTCCAAGCTTTTGTCAATAGCTTTTCGAATTTTTTCAGGATTTACTCGTCCAGGAATAAAGTTTGATGATGGAAACATACCCGATATTATTTGATTATTTAATGTTGTGGTGATTACGGTGGTTTTTACAGAAGACGTGGTTGATACCCCTCGCTATCCTCCATCATCCAGCAAGAGAAAAATAAAATATATATGTATTCGAATCGAACAAGTTTCTTGATTGAGGTGCGCATGATTGATGATTTGTTTAGAAATATGCTTACCTTTTGTTTCACATCTCGTACTGAGAACGAGTAAAAGTCATCTTTGTCGGCTGTCTGATGAAAAATATCCTTAAATATTAGAATCACATGTAATTATTATTTCCGCTTGTCTAATACAATATACGTACATGCTTCCTCTTTAATGAATTAGAAGAAATGGATACGTCGAGTTTTTTGGTAGCAGATTTTGATTTTGAGCTGTCTTCTTTAAAATGCGATAAATACATTAACTTTTCCGAATAAACTTCCGCTGCTTTATGAACGGACATAAAATGTAGGATTTACTTTTTTCGGGTGGTACATTATCACGTAGAGTCCACCAGCCTATAAGATTATGAATTATTATTATTATTGTTGTTGTTGTTGTTTTAATAAGTAGAGAGCAAATTCCGTTTGGTTTACTTATAAACAAATAATGTGATCACACCTGTTTGATGCATCATGCTAGACCCAGATACAAACTCTGTGTGAATAGATAAAACACTTGCGACGGTGTTGTTCCACGTACTGTACTCTAGATTAAAAATGTGGATATAGATTAAAGAACGTTAAAATTAAAAAAATACGTTATACAAAAAGATCAAAATCCAAATGTACGTACTAGTTTTCGAAGGAGCCAGATAGTCCCAGTATCCTTCAATGAATTTACAAATTTCATCTTTCCATTGAAAAAACTTTCGATCTGGATGTCTTTTTAGTAAGTTGTATAAGGAGAGTTGAACTACTATTACCCTTTGTTTATTAATAATAGTTTAATAACGTGTCAATGATTTGAATTCTATCATTGAGAGTTGAGGAAAATCGCATGGACACACGCACCAGCTCATCGGTAGTCGCTTAAATTTTTGTGGACCTTGTCTGCAAATTGAACATTGAAATTCGTAGAACGTGTCTCCAGCAATTAAAGGTTTTGGTAGAGTATTAACACATCCTAGTTATTTATTTATAAAATTTATTCACGCATTAATTAATTTACTCGATAGATTTAACTAAAGAATCGATTAGAGACGAAATCGAAAAATCTATAATTTACTTGAATGAAATAGTTGACGACATTTTTCACATTCTAGCATTGGTTCATCCCTAAACGTTATTGAAATCATTAAAGTAACAAATAAATACAGTTTATGAAATGAATTTCTTATATTTACAATTCTTTATCCTGTCCACAATAGCAATAAACACCTTCTAGGTTCACAGAATGTTCCGGGTCGAGCCACGTCAAAGATTCAAGCTTGATTATTTAAGAATAAATTTAGAAACGTCTAGATTTCAACAAAAAAACTTTGAACACACCTCGTACGGAAACTTTGTTATAGGCGTTTCGGTCATTTTTGAGTAAGAATTATTGACGTTAATTGTAAGAAATCATTATTTGATATACACGTGAACTTTATTCGTCAGAGTTCTTTTTAATTTTTTTAATTGGTTAATACTCGTATGGTCCGGTGCAAAAAAATATATACATCTCAAAACAATTGTTTCTATCAAACTTTTATATACTATTTTTATTATGCTTTAATTCAATAATAAATAAAACAATACTTTTCTAAATAAAATTATTTTTTTTAAAAGAAAATACATTTTAAATATTATTGTTATCAATTTGCAATATTAAAACTTTAATTTACATAAAGCAGATTGTTCTAAATTTTATTAATTTTAATTAATTTTATATAGTAAAATTTAAGAAATAATAATTCAAAAAAGTTACTATTAGTAAAAAATTTTTTATAAAGATATGCCATTTTTAGTTTATATAAACTAAAAATGACTTAGACTATAATAATCTCAGATATGATATATGTTTTGCATTTGCCTCATCAAAGATGAGATGTTTACAGTTTGCTCATCAATTTGCATTTACTTCATCATAGATGAGATATTTATAGTTTACTTGTCAGTGTGATGTAATTTACATTTGCTTCATCATTCAAGTAATGGATTGATCACAAAATATATGTCCTCTTATTTGATTATTAAATTGCTTTTTATCATGAAGGAGTATAGTAATTTTGAATGTGAAGTATAATAAAGCATAGTTATCATATTTGATTAATAAATTACTTTCTGTCATGAAGAAGTATAATGATTCTGGATGCAAAGTATAGCAGAGTATAGTTATTATATTTGATTACTAAGAATAAGATACATAATACCAAATTAGTAATCTATTATTTATAATTTATTTGATTACTAAGAATAAGACATGTAATATCAAATTATTATCTTTACTTGATAATATAACAAAGTATAAATTTATCTTATCTTTTTTCTTATAATATTCTGCTTTGATATATTATCAAAAATTTTCTATATTTTTAATTCTAAAACTCTTTTTCATATAACTAATATTTTTAAATATTAATCAAAAAATAAAATATATAGTATTGAATTATTATTATTTATTTGGTAATATATTAAAATATAATTTTTTCTTATCTTTTTTCTTATAATATTCTGCTTTAATATATTATTTTTTTTAATAATCTTGACATATTATTAAATCAGCATTAATTATTATAAAATACCAAAATCAGATAATATAAAAATAATTATTAATTAATTTATCTTATCTTATATATTGGAAGTACTTATCTTAATTGAAATTATATAATATAAAAATTCTCTTGTATGCTTTAAGTATTAAAGTATTAATTTTTGATTTGAATTTTTTTACATACTTATTGTAAGAGATGATAAAAATCTCTTATTCAAAATATCTTACTTAATTAGATTATATTATTTTGAAAAATTATATATACTTAATAAGTATTATAAATCAATTTTTTAATTCATTTTTATGTAAAGTAGTTGAAATCTTCATTTTAGTTTCAAAATTATATTTATATTTTAAGAAGTCAGTCTTATTCATATTCTTATATTCTTTTTTTTAGTAATTATTATTATCTCATATTTCAAAGACAATTTTGACTCTTCATTATTTTAGCTTTTCTTGAGATATTTTGAACTTTTATTATAAAAGAAGAATAAAAATATTTATATCAGATTTATCTTTGATAAGAAACTTTAAAGATAAAGAAATTAAGAATTCAGATATCTTTTTTTTAGTTATACTAGCTTTGTTAATAATATTATTATGATATATATCTTGAGAAGAATTCTTTCTATATTTAATAATATAATAATTTTGAGCTGGTATTTCTAAGAATAAAGCTTTTTTATAAATTATATCACTAGATAAATCAGATACTTTATACTTTGCATATTTTAAAATAGTACTATTAATAATAGATATAGAATTGAAAAGATCTTGAATCTCATTAAATATCTTTAGTTTATATAATAGAAGAATTAGAGTTATAAGATAATATTCAGGATTATTTAATTTCTTTTTCTAAATTATTAAAATTATATCTATTATATAACTTTTAGTTAATTTAATATAAATATTTTTAAATTTATTATTCTTTAGATCCTATCAATTCTTGCTTATTTTTTATAATATAATTATATTAATTACTAATAATTATATTAATTATCTTTATAACTAAATTAAGATCTGATATTTCTTTTATATAAGATTTAAAATTAAAGAATAATAAAGATTAATTTTAAATTTCTATAATTTTTTATGAGATACTTCAAATATAATTTTTATCTGATTATCAAAGAGAATATATTTATTATCTATATCTATAAAATTAAGTAAATGTAAAAGCTTTTATATGACTTTTTAATAATTTGCTAAATAAGTTTTATGTAAATTCTTTGCTATTAAATTCTCAAAATAATTTTTAATATTATAATATATATCTTCTTATTATGAGATATCTTTGGTCTTTAATTCTTTTATTACACTATCTTTATTATAATTTTACTTATAAAAATGAGATAGATACAAGAAATATTTTCTAGATTTAGGTAAGCTAAAATATTTTATAAAATTTTTATTACAGAATTTATTTTAATTTTTAATATTCATATTATTTCTATTATAAAGATTTCATATATAAAAATGCTTAAGTATTATAATATCTATAACTAAATATTCTGAATTAAGTTTAAGAAATTCAGCTTTCTTAAAAATAAGATTTTAAGAAATAATAACTATTTCAAAATCTATATACTTGATAACTGATACTTCAATTCTAATTTATTATAAATTTATTTATAAATTTCTATAACTTCTTGACTCTTATTCATTTTTATTAATTTGAAATTTGCCTTTGTATTAGTAATAAGATTATATAAAATCTTGATAAAATTTCTGACTGAAAGATATTTTTAATACTTATCTTCAATAAATAAGATTATAATAGAAAATTGATTAAGTTTATAAGAAATACTATCTATATTTTATTCATGATATTTTTTAATTATTATAGATAAATTATTAGGTTAGATAATTACAAGTTCTGCATAAATATTTTCATAGCCTGATAAATGAGAAAATTCATTGAAAATTTTTTGATAATAAAGAAAAAGTATATATTTTTTACAATCATGAATTCTAAATATTATCTAAATAAATACTTCTATATTAACTAAAGTTTTAATATTTATAATACTTATAACTAAAGATGACTCCTCAACTAATTGTGGCTTGCGGCAGCCAATCAGAGAATTGCGACAGAGTTACAGCAGCCAATCAGAGAATTGCGACAGAGTTGCAGCTAGTTACAGCTCCCATCTCTACTTATAACTATGTCAAAGTGATTAGATTTCTTGAAAGAAATATTAGTTTCTATTATATTTATATAAACTATATAATTAAGTTCATCTCAAGTAATATTAATATCTAAGAAGTTATTTTTTTATTATTTTCTATCTATATCTCTATAATAAGTATGAATTTTAAAAGATAATTTAGAAGTTTTTTCTACTAATACTTAAGTTATATTAAAATTTATTATAATAAATATTACATATTTATCTTGCTTTAAATACTCAAATTCTATTTATATAGTTTTAGCTATAGTATTTGAATTAGAAAGATATTCAATAATTTTACCTATAAGAAACTAAAATTTATTATTAATTATTCAAATATTTTTATTATAATAAGTTTTAAGAAATATTAGTATACTTTCATTTGTAAATGCATTCATAGCTAAAACATGTTAAGCTAATCTTAATATATTACATATTACATTTTCAGATTCTCATATATTTGAACTGCTATTTATTTGGCATTAAATTATATTAACTTTATCTAAAACTACTATAATAAGATGAGATGAGAATTTAATATGAGAAAAGCTCTCTACTTGAATTATAATAATATCTTATTTATTTATAAATAAGTTTTGTTTATTTTAATAATTATAAATTTTAAGCTCTGATAATTTGAGTTTATTAATTTTTTCTTGTAATTTATTACTAAGAATTTTTTGATAAAAAATTTAAATAATAATAGTTAATCACATTCTACTTCTAGATAAGATCTCAATATTTCTTCTTAAATCTTTCATTTTTTTATTATCATAAGAAAATAGATTAAAGTTATATTAGATTCATTACTTAAGAATTGAAATAAACTTCTGAAGTATTTTTTATTTTTTTTATATTAATAACTTTTCCAAATAATTTAGAAAGTGAATATGAATTTAATACAGCTTTAATGATTCTTTCATTTAATTTTAATCTAGATTTTACTTTTAATTTAACTTTATTTGATATCTTATTGAAACTAGAGTTCTTATAATTTGGCTTGTATTATTTTTAGTAATAATACTTAAGTATAAAATATTGAATAAATCTATAGAGTTAATCTTTTTTATATTTAATATTGCATATAATATATTCTTTAATTGATTGTATTTGAATTTCTTCTTAGTTCTTCTAATCTAAAGTCACTTATATTTTGTAATAACTAAATTAGTCCTATTAATCAAGATATTTTTATCATTGATAGATTTGTATTTCTCTTCTATTAACTTTTTAGAAGAAAAGATTCATGATTAGATTTCAAAATAATTTGATTTTAGTTAAACTAAATAATTTTCTAGTTCTTAAAATTCATTTTTCATGAAAGAAATTACAGATCTTTTTATGCATCTCTCTTTTGCTAATCCAAAAAGTTGAAAACTAAAGCATGTCTTAAGAAGACTAATATTAATGAATTTTGAATAAGATTTTTTAACTAGTTCAATAACTTTTTTAATAAAATTCTTAAGTTTACTATAATTTATAAATTAAGTATAAGAATAGATAATATGTCAATTGTATTTATTATAATTCTTACCAAAAATAATGAGAATTATATATTTATTTATAGTTTACTAAAAAAAAATAATAATAATATGAAACAAAAAAATAAAAATGCTAGACTATTATAGTAATTACCATAGAAAAATTAGTACTTAATT